TTCAGTTGTTTAGAATTCAGTCAAAATTTATTTTTTATATATATATATATTTTTTTTTATGTTATCTATTTCCTTCTACTCTATTCTTTATTAAAAAATATAAAAGAAAATATATTCGTTTCATTCTGAAAATATACGGACGACCCTATTGTCGGGTATTGATCATTTTGGTAGCGTATACCCTTGGGAGGAGGGGGAAGCGAGAGGGGGGGGGGGTGTTTGGTCCCCGGGAACTGGGTCAGTGGGTAAGCCTGCCTGCAGCGAGGCCTATATATTGACCGCCATTTTAATTTAGCTTCTCCAACCTGACGTTTTATTATATTCTCGTTTATTATTATATAATAGTTATATTATTAATTATAATAATATATATATCTATTATTAAAGTTAAACGTATAATATGTATTTAGTTTGACCTTGAGACTGAAACTAGTACAACAATTCTCTAACAAATAATGATCCATGTTTAAAAAAAAAATTATCCATTTATAATTATATTCAAAGATAGGAATTTTTTTTTTTTTTTTTTGACTCAGATTAAATTTTGACCTATTTAAAGAAGGTAATTTTTCGAGTAACAGGAAATTATCCTATATATTATTTCTAAAAGATGTTTTTTTTGTCGGTACGCCATAATTTCGTCAATTCTTCATCAAGTTCAATGATTGACCACTCATTTTAAAGATATTCTTCTCCTTCACATGCGAAAAATAGTCCCATCTCCCCGTAATTTTTGGGAAAAAAAGTTATGAAGGATAAGAAACTTTATTTGCGAATAACTCAAAAAGTATGCATTTTTTTCTGGATTGTATCCATGATAATTAGGAAAATTACTAAATTACCTACAGCCAAAACAAAAGAAAAAAAGATCGTAAAAATCTGACTATTATTAACAAAGATACATTCCATTAGTTTTGGTATACTTAATAATGTCTTGCTGTTTAAAGATATTGCATTTAGGAGTAGAATAGTCAACCTTCATTTTTTTTTCCTGGCTGATATATTAACTTTATTATTTCTTAAAGATACTTAGGTGTTCTTACATTTTATTTTTTTTATAATAATTTAGAGTATCCCGTGCTCGGGTCATTGTTTTGTCTTTATTGCTTTTATTATCTTTCCAGTAAAGCAATTTGTACAGATATTTTGGTCTGTTATGTTTAATGGAATATTGTAATCGACCAAGGAAAAAATATTAATTCCTTCCTTACATAATACATAGGAACTACTTAATTCCATATTGTTTTGCTATTTTTTCACTAAATATAATTGTCTGCGAAATTTTCGCACGGGCCAACTAGTATTACTTATTTCGATTTATTTATTTTTATTTTTTAACTTTTTAAAATGAAACGAGAGACCCTCAGTAGACGAGTTACTCTACTTTACTCACTTATTTCTCCAAATCTAGAACTGTGGCAGAAACTAAATGTATACATATACTTACTTAACCTAAATATATATATTAACTCGCCACATATCAGATACACGGTATAGCTAGATGGACCACCTTACAAAAACATCAAACTTTTCTAAAAATTTTGCAAGCTTGTTTTATTGTTTCATAATCCTTGATGTAAACATACTATTATAGTTCGTGGTACAGACCCCTTTTTAACAAATTATTAACATCCGGCTGAAAATTCGTAAATAGCTTTTTCTCATCGTAACCTACAACTATTTTATTTACGAAAACTCTTGGAATTGGGGCGTTTTCAATCTGGAGGGGGGGGGGCTACTTTTGTCTATTTAATTGGGTACTGAAAACTCGTAAATATCCATATGCTTACCAATACGAAAATTCTCGGAATTTTATACAACCTCATTATTTTGACAATTTGGGACGTCGTATAAAAGTATGTCACGTCAAATAGCTCAATATTTTTAAATGACAACTTTTTACCCAACTTTGTGTGAAAGTTATCTTGCGATTCAAGTGGAAAGCGAAATGGGTATTTACGAGTTTTTAGTCCTTAATTAAATAAACAAAGTTTGCCGACCTTCAGATTAAAAACGCGCCAATTTCGAGAATTTTCGTAAATAAAATATTTATAGGTTACGATGAGATGAAGCTATTTACGAAGTTTCAGCCGGGTGTTAATAATTTTATAAAAAGGGGTCTATACCACGGACTATTATATATTTTTTTTGCTTTTTTTTTTTTTTTTTTTTTGAGCACCGGTGATGCTCTGAAACTTAGAATCAACAGGATTTCGAAAGGCAGGAAAGAATGGTTAAAATTATAAAACTTTTTTTTTTACACTGGAATAGTAGAAATTTTCGTTCAACTTTTCTTAAAGTTAGAGTTTCCGAACGATTATGGTAAAAAAAAAATAATAAAATGTGAAATTGTTTTCTAATAGAAAATATATATGATTTATAAAAAGTATGATGTACTCTATTTTATTTATTTATTTATTTTTACGATACTTTACTCTTTACACATGTTCGAATCCGCTGACCAATCGTCGAATGTGTTCTGGGCTTTAGATTTACGTTTAGTTTTTCTGATTCTCAAATCTTTAGATATCGTTATAATCGATTAATTTAGTTTATTACTGTTTTTTCAATTCATATCGATAAATAAAGTGTAAAAGTATCGATTTAGAGCTCAAAGCTTTGCTGTGTATGATCGTAGTTATATGCGATGGAGGTTTCGCCTACTCACAACGCCTACCTGTGATGTCGCATAATTGTAATGTTTTCGTTTAAATTATTAAATTAATTTCCATTGTAACTTAAGTTGTAATTAGATATTTGAGATTCTTTAAGAATTTAGAAAAGAAAATTTGGCAGTTTGTACAAAATAAAATAAAAAAAAACATAAATCGACTAAATCATCTATTATTTTCTACAAATCTATCGATGCGTCTTAAGATTTTAATATATTAGAACTATAATAACTCCGACTTTATTTTATGGTATCCTATTTTTTTTTAAATATTACAAAGTCGGCAGAAAAAAAAATACTACAATCGTTTCAAAATGGAATTGAAATATTGCGATATTTTAAGGAAATTGCCACTTAAAGTTTTAAAATGTTAAGACTCCATGAGGAATTAAAAATACCAAAAAATAAAGAATTTCGTAACTGAACGGAATGACAGATTTTGCGGAATCAGTTATAAATCTGACAATTTCCTTATTGAATCTTGATATAATCTCTGGACTACATCAACGATGGCAAAACTTATTTGAAAATTTAATTTTAGTTTTTGAATGAGTCACCTAATCGCCTGATTAATCATTAGAAATCGTGGAACTTAGCAGAAATAATGATAATATAAAGTTATGCTAATCCTTCACAAGGACAATACTTGTGCCCCTCCCTTCCGCACCAAGAAGAAATTTTATTGCTCTCTTTATCTTAAAGATTGTCTAATTGGAAGTAAAATTAAAAACAAAAAAATGTAAATCAATCTCAATTAATCTTGCTTTAGTCTCTACCACTTTTTTTCATGTTTAAAGCCATGCCAACTATAATCCCTTAAAAGTATGGTTTCTTCCAAAGATTTCTAACCACGTCAAAATGTCTCGCCCTTAAAAATTCAAAAACTCTATAAATATGGCTTCTTAGAAAATTGAAAACCCCATTAAAATATGCTTCTCTAAAAAAGTTTGATAGGTCGATTTCCCCCGTGCTCTACCCCCTTCTTACAAACCCTCTATTTAAAAAAGTAAATAAGCAGCTAAAAAAAAAAATTAATAAAAATCATTTGAGAAGGAGTTGATCGAAGGGGGGGGGAGGGAGAGGGGAAGGTGCGGTAAAATAAATACTAAATTAAAAAAAAAAATAGTATTTTTAATTATTACGCCGACGTTGCAAAGGTGGGTCGCTTGCAGGTCTTTATCACGGCGTGACATGTGGCACTGTAGGAGGCAGTTGATAGACACAGTGCCACATGCCACACCCTGATGAAGACCTGCAAGGTGGATCGAAACGTCAGCGTAATAATTAAAAATACTATTTTTTAAAATTTAGTATTTATTTGACCACACCTTCCCTCCCCCCTACCCCTCGATCAACTCCTCATATTATATCACGGTCAACCATCTCTTAATCATAATAAAATTCATTATTAGGTTAAATAAAGTTAAATAAAATAAAATATATTGAATATTTAATAAGTTGACCGTTGCATTATAAAGGGGGGGAGATGGTCCGGGGTTGCGGTCAAAAATAGACTAAATAGTGGTAAAACTATTTTATTGAAAGCCAACGTTTCTACCCGACTTTGCAGGTCTTCATCAGGGAGGTGTGTTCATCTAGGAGTTTCACTTAGAACTCCTAGATGAACACATTTCCAAGAACCCCGGACCATCTCCTTCCTTTAAAAAATAATATAATTTTTCTTCTGTTTACTTCAAGATATTTCAAGTTATTATTTATAAGATTTGTTAATGTAGATAAACCACTGTGCGTGGTTGAGATAAACCACTGTACGTGGTTGAAATTTGATCATAATTGTTATTGAAAATTTAAATTTGAATGATTCCGTCGTTTTTTTTTCTTATGTTAAACGTTCTGAGAACATACACTTATATAATATATAATTACAATACAGAACAAACAGTTTGTTAATGTTTTTATAATTTTTGAGTTATTCACAAATAAACTTCTGAATTCATTGCTACTTCTTTTTCAGCCTCTTTCCAGGGAGGTTTGTTATATAAATTAAAATGGCTGCATGGAGATGAATTCAGTTTATAGATTTCGGAACGAAAGACTGTTTTTAATATATAAATAAATGTATGCAAAAACACTTTTAAATTTTCATTGCAAAGCTTTATCAAAATTTAAAAACTTTCGGAGATTAGCGGTTATGAACAAAACTCGTCAACATCTATTAAAAAAAAAATTATATATATATATATCGGTTGAGAAACAAAGGAGAAAAAGGGACTGAACTGTTTAGTCTATATTTATTTATATAATGATAATTACTATGTTAAATTATATGTTAGTTAATTAAAAGATATATTAATATACTGGGAGATTGATGTATAATATTATCGACGGCGGCAGACAGCAAGGCTCGATTCATGTACAAATTCTATTTCTAGACGCGGCACGGCAAAGCCCTCCCCCTCCCCCCCCCAGTTTTCTTCTTTTTATTGGCCCATTGAGGAGTGACGTCACGGAACTGGGTCAGGGCGCCGCCCCCATTGAGGCGGGCCCCGCCCCCGCTCGCCTAACGATCCCCCGTTCCACCCCCACCCCCTCCCCCCTGGGGTCTATAATAGTCGAAGGGGTCGGTCTGTAATATGTAATAGGTCCTTCATTGATCCCCTCGGATCAACCCTCGTATCAATTACAATTAAAGTTAGTCGTCTTGATTATATATATATATATATATATATATATATATATATATATATATATATATATATATAGAGAGAGAGAGAGAGAGAGAGAGAGAGATTGAGAGTGAGAGAGAGAGAATCAAGAGTTCCCTAAGAATAATAACTGAGTTCCACAATTAAAGCACATTAGTGTTAGAGTATAAAAAATCAGTAACTGTTAATTAAGTAACTGCTAATCTTGAGTAACTGTTAATCGGAATTGGAATTATCAAGTTGATTGGATTATACAGTGCACTGATGCTAGTAGATTTTACATGTTTGAATATACGAAAGTTTGAATATGAAGTAGGTGGTGAAATAGGAGCTTTTTGAAAAAAATTATAAGGACGAGGATTGAGGTTGGTAAAGAGTTCCACGAAATGAGGTAGCGCAAATGGCGAAGGATTTTCTGAAGGAAGTATTTTTTATGTAAGGGGATATATAGATATATAGGTTGAGATCTGGTATTGAGAGAGTGGACAGAGAAAGGAGTTTTAGGATATAGGGAGGTTTTTTATATGATGAGGACTTGGAAAAGGAAAACATCTAATATTAAGAAAATTCGTGACTCTCTTCAGTCCCATTTTTAGGCTGGCAGACAGCCCTGCATATACCAAACAACCGTAGTCGAAGTGTGTGAAAACAATGGAGATTGCAAGAAGGTGTCTGATTTTCAGAGGAATACAATTACGGAATCTAAGGAATTGTTTAAGGATAGTTGTGTGTATTTTTGGGTAATCTGGGAGATAGGGTTATTCCAGGAAAGTTCTGGTCAAAGGCAACTCCTAGGTTTTAGACTTTAGTGAAAAATGTATGGGACGGTTATTGAGGTAAAGTAAGGTAAGGGAACTAATATATATATATATTTGTAAGTAGATCAGGACGTCCACGCCTTATTATCGGTCGATTTCAAAGTAGGCTATGATTTCGTGGACAGAAACTGTCTTTGGAAAGAGCAGGAGAGAACTATTAGTTCCTGGGAAGTTGGTGAGATTGACGAAGGCTTGTACAAAAGACCATAAATGTCGAGTCCTGATACGAAGAATTGGGTTATCATAGACAACCTAAAGGTCGGAAAACATCGTTTATTTAATTAGGTACTGAAAATTCGTATACATCCATGTGCTTTCTACTTGGATCGTAAACTAATTTAGTCACAACGTCGATAAAAAAGGTGGCGTACAAAAATATTCGGCCGTTTGCCTTATATAACCTCGTTATTTTGACAATTTTGGGTGTAGGTCACGCCAAACGGCTCAATATTTTTGAAGACTTAACTTTTTTCTCGACTTAGTGCTCAACTTATCTTACGATACGAGTTGAAAGAAAATGGGTATTTACGAGTTTTTAGAACTTAATTAAATAGACAAATTTTGTAGACTTTCAGATTGAAAACTCTCCAATTCCGAGAATTTTCTTAAATAAAATAATTTTATAATTTGCTCTCTGCCACGGACTATAATAGTAGGTTTATATCAGGGATTATCAAACAATAAAACATTATACATAAAAACTAGCTTGTGAATTTTTTTTTAAAGTTTGATGTTTTTGTAAGGGGGTCTTACTAGCTATACTGTAGTTTACTGAATTATCTAGTTTGTTGTTGTTTTATATTTCGCGATTTGTGTACGTATTTCTTTGAGTAATATTCAGTAGATAATATTTAGAGGATGGAAATAATCATAAGGGAAGCCATTCTAGACTGTTCGCCCATCGCTCATCATTCGTCCTTGATAACATGGGACTTCCTTTTACAAGTTAAACGACAAGGAGGTTGATATTCAAAGGAGATTCCTCTATGAATATCGATGAGCGGAACAATGGGTCGTTGATGAAGGAGCTGCATCCTAGGAGTCGACAATGTAACTCGTCGGCCTTGGTCAGGGCGTCCATTGCACGTCATACATGAAGCCATCCTTTATTCCCTTTTAATTCCCATTGCTGGTTGTCAATATTACAAATTATTTCATTTAGCATATATATGAGGGCGGGGTGGCCGAGCGTGCTAAACACGCGTTGCCCGGCAGTAAACCGAAAACAGGGAGATAAAACAATTAGGAGTTCACGTCCTGGTGGGACTTTTATCTCTGACATTAAATCCCCCGCCCTCTTTTCTGACCTGGGAAGACCCTGTACAGCCTAAAACGGAAGGAAGGAGAGGACAAAAAAAAAAAAAATTAATTTAACATAGATATGTATTTTGTAAAATAAGTACATTGTATAGAAAGAATGCTTTATGTGCAATGAATGGGGAGTGGGGTAGCTTAGTGAGTAAATCAATGTTCTACGAGGTCCAGGTTCGAGTCTGGTTGTGGCAGAAAATTATTTATTCTTTTTGATGGTTGACTGTAATGAATAATTGAAGAGAAGATTGGTTGAGGTATTCAGTAAAAAAAAAAAAAAAAAAAAATCTATATACAAAACTCTTGAAACCTTGCCAAGACACTTAAAACTAAGTACAATTGTAAAATATAAATATAAACTTTTAGAAAAAATAAAAAATACATTACAATCTTCTTAGCAGTAAACTCTGTGTTTCTGTTAAAAAAAAAGAAAAGAAAGAAAGCCGAATCTGCTAATAAGTATTTCAGTTATGAGCTATATGTAAATACATTATTATGAATAATATGTAATTTTACATAAAAGGTTAGCGGGTATCTGACTGTTTTTGGGGCAGGAATTGGAATAGGAGGGTTTCGAATGTAGAATTTTGATAGGAAGGGAATTCCAAAATTTAACAGAGCGAGCTATGAAGGAGTTTTGGAACGAGGCAGAACTGTGAGAAGGAATGTAAAGGTCGGAAGGTCGAGATCTTGTGGAAAGGGAATGGGCTGAGGATTTGAATTGGAGAAGGTTGTAAGCGTAAGAAGGACGATGATTGTTGATGATATGATAGAGGAATATACCTAGGAAATATTGTCTTCGAATGGAGGGGAAGAGCCACCTTAACTCAGTGTAGTGGTGAGAGACATAGGATTACCTCGGGGCACCAATTACAAATCTCACGCAACTGTTCAATTTATGCAGAAGTTTCGGTCTAAAGTTCAGGCCACCATCAGTGCTAAGAAAAAAACATATAAGAATGGGTATGAGAAACTATTAACATTAAAACGATAAAAATAATAATAATAATATTTATTCTTTTATATCACTCTTGGATTGATCCTGTGATTTGAGAATCCTGGGTTCATTCTCTATCGAGTAGGTAATCTTAAACGGCTACTAACGACTCTGAAAAAACCTAACGGCTGAACTTAATTAGGTCAAATCATCTCTTTTGCCTTAGGATTAAAAGTTACCTAGAGAGACTTCGTTCATTCCTTGCGGGATATCCAAACCTTCCGTTGGGTAAGAACCGTATATCCTTTAGTGCATTGCAGGTTACCTTCATGTACCTCATTACCGATCCTCTCAGGGTCAATTCAGGTTCAAGGTCAGTGACGAATCGATTTATATCCGTGGATTATAGCTGTTCAAGGCCAGCAGGTTCTCCCGGAGCTACCTATATTTCCTCCGCTGTAACGTAGCAAATATGGACCATACCACATTACGATTTCTGATTATGGTACTCGGGGTAGTGTCATCACTTATAATCCTGTTCGATGTGAGTATCACCCAGGAGCCTTGTGTTGATAGTGTTGCTCAAATGCGAGACCGAGACGATTCTTGTCTTGCAAACTCAGTCTTGGTCTTGCGCAACAGTCTTGCAGTTGCTTATTACTATAAGATATTACTGTAATTTTTTAGATAGCAGAAACCTAACTAAGCCCAATGAAAAATTAGAGGAGTTAAATGCAAAATATATTGGTTATACCGATTATTAACATATAGTAACTAAGATTGTCAAGTATTAGTAACAAATTTGGGCAAATTGAGTTTACTGAGCGTCCCACTCGCGCTATTCAAATCTACTTAGGGATCAAAATCGATAGTTGGTATTTTCGAAATATCCATATTTTCCTCTAATATGCAATACACTCTATATGAACTGATTGAATATTTTTTTCTCTAACGTTCAAATTCAATATAATCCTAGCGTTTCGATGCATAGCTTTAATTTTTTATTATTAAAATATCGAAGACTATATCGGTAGTAGATCATATTGAACTTGATACTATCGATGGTAAAATATCGAATATCCTAAGGATAATATCGACTATCTAAAGCCATCCCTAACCTCAGCTTGGCTGACTTCAAACCAGATTCAGATTCATATATAAGCGATTTCCGATTCATAGCACTAGTGTTGCGAGACCGAGACGATTCTTGGTCATGGTCTTGGTCTTGCAGTTGCTTGTTAGCTTATTACTATAAGATATTACTGTAATTTTTTAGATAGAGAAACCTAACTAAGCCGAATGAAAAATTAGAGGAGTTAAATTTGCAAAAGTATATTGGTTATACCGATTATTGACATTTAGTATCTAAGATTGTCAAGTATTAGTAACTATTTTGCTCTAATTTTTATTTTTAAAATCGATTTTTTTTACCATTCTTGGCCTTGATCTTGCAACAGTTAGGTGGAATTTGTCTTGGTCTGCAAAGCGTAAGACCAAGACCGATTTTGGGCAACACTAGAGGCTGATATTGACCTCACATACTTAAAGGAGATACATTAAGTCAAGAAAAACACAGGATGCGTGGTTTTACCCAGTAAGTGGCCATCCACCCAAGTATAGACCACGCTGGAATTTACTTACCTTAGTTGTTCATGATTGTCTTCAACATTCTTGAATTTAGGGACTCCGATTCAAATCCGGCCTAGGTGAGTTGAAATTTATTCCGTAGCGGCTTTACGTAATGAATCTTTCCACTCTGTTTAGAATAGGTTTGGTTGTACCTCTAGAACAACCCTCTCGTAATTTATTAATGGCGAAGTAGTTGATTAATGAAAAAAATAATTATCGCAGTTTATTTTTGTATTCATCGTTAGCAGAGGGTTCAAAGAACATTGTGATTATCGTAAGACGTTGGCGTGATGTACTTGTATGGAAAACGAAATTCCAGAATCCGTGGAGTGCTAACTTAGCCTATGAAATACGATTTTTATAATATTAGAAATACTTATTTAAGAACTTATTGACTCATTCAACAAATTACACAAAACATTATTTCGAGAATTCAGCAAAACTCCTAAAATATATTATGAATTATAACAGTTTCATGATTAATGTGTCAGAAACAGGCTTATATTTAATACTTGTTAACTAGTTATATTTTAACTAATATCTTATAGTCCGTGGTAGAGACCCTTTTTATTGGATTATTAACACCGCCCATCACCTTTTATTTTATATTACAGATGTAGAAAAAGTACTCAGAAACGACAAAAAAAAAAAAAATCAAAATACACCTTACAATGCTTTTAAGCAGTAAAACGACTATTATGAAGACAATGAAAATCCAAATATGCGAGACAAAAATAAATAAAAAAGGGGCTATACGTATTTGTATAAATAAGCAAAATTAGTTCGTGGTACCCTTTTTTTTATCGAATTATTAACATCCACCTGAAACTTCATAAATGTTTCATCTCGTCGTAACCTACACTATTTTATTTACATAACTCTCAATCGGACGTTTTCAATCTGGAAGTGACAAACTTGTCTATTAATTAAGTACTAAAAACTGTAAATACCCATTTGCTTTCTCTTGATTGTAAGATAATTTGATCCACAATCGAAAAAAAATCTCTTCAAAAATATTAAGTGCCTACCTCCAAATTTTCAAAATAACATGGACAAACGGCCCAATATTTTGTAGGTCACATTTGTTTATCAATTTTGTGATCAAATTATCTACGATCAAGTAAAAGCAAATGGTATTTACAACTTTTAGTACCTATTAAATAGACAAAGATTGTCCCCTCAAGATTGAAAACGCCCAATTCCAAGAGTTTTCTAAATATAATGTTGTTTGAGAATAAGCTATTTATGAAGTTTAAGCGGATGTTAATAATTCGTAAAAATGGTTCTGTACCACGACAGTATCAATTATCAGTTAACTATGTTAGACATTAAAAATATGGAAAATTTGAATTATCATAACACCTTGAAAATTTGCGTTTTTGCCGCTCTCAGACTACTGTTCAGAGGCATGGGGAAGTACAGTACATAGTGCTCTGCAGTCCCATTTTTCGCTGAGACATAATAATTTACAATAATTGATGATTTACTTATTATTTATTTATTATATAATATAATTGTATTATTGTATTTTCAGATAAGCCGGCAATCGATCGACGCCTGCAAAGACTACTTCAGGGACGACCTAGTGAAGACAGACTGGCAGCTGATGGTGGAACTGAAGAAGCTCTTCCAGATCCTGTAGTTTCCGGGGACGACCGCCCCCCTTCCCCCCTTAAATATATATATCTAATCACAAATGTAATTATATATGTACTTCCGAGTATATATATATTATAGCAAATATTTATAAATATATATATATATATTTCGTATGAAAGATAATAATATAACTGTACATTTCTATCCTTTGTAGTTTTTTATGCCTTGGGAAGTAACTTTTGGTTACTTCTTTATTTGAGACTGTGTGTATTTGGAACGAAAGATCAAATTCAATAAATCTGAAACAATGAATTATGCGGTGATTATATATTTTGTTTTCTTTTTTTATTTTTTTTTTTTATTATCATTTATAATTATTTATATTTTAAATTTGGAATTATGATAACTGGTCTAACAATACTGCCTGTATATTGTATTAAAAATAACAAATATTCTCTCTGATACTGCCCAAGGTTCTTTCATATATAGTTAATTGTCTATATATTATCACTAATATATATATACTGCAATAGATAAAAGAAACTAACAATTAAATTTTTTTTTTAAGTAAGGGTATTTTTAGTTGTGAATCCCTTCACACCTTACATATGCATGATAAAGTTTCAGGTCAAAATATACAACAAAATTTGATTGTACTTTATTTTGTCTAATATGGTCTACAAGCTTTCTTAGACGTCTCACTGGCCTTTGATACAGTGTGGTATGATGGTCTACTTCGTAAAATTAAACCTATCTTTCCGCATACATACTATTTAATCATCAGACCTTGAGGATTGGTTTTTTATTGTTAACCAGAATGGTAAATACTCCGACTTTTGATGAATCGGCGCTGGTGTACCGCAGGGCAGTATTTTAGTTCCGGTCCTGTACTCAATTTACTCTTCTGATATTCCACAGACACCAGACACATTACTCGCAACTTACGCAGACGACACTGTCATACTCTCGACTGACTCTAATCCGATCACAGCATCTCAGAAAGCACAGATTCATTTAAATCTTCTACAAGACTGGCTTGATAAATGGCGCATAAAAATTAACATTCAAAAATCAAACCAGGTTACATTTACACTTAAACGTTCGGATTGCCGTCTACTGACACTTTACAACATCCATTTGCCAAATCATACAGAGACAAAAAATTTAGGACTCTCAATGGACAGACGACTGACCTGGAAATCACACGTGACTACATTAAAAAAGAGATTGAACCATCGATTGTCATTACTAAGAAAAATGCTACACCATAAAAACAAACTATCACTTTCTAACAAAATTACTATATACAACATGCTACTCAGACCAATATGGACTTATGCCTCTCAGGTGTGGGGTTCATGCAAAAAAAAACACACTTATAGACTATTCAAAATTTCCAATCTGAATTTCTCCGGTATATCACTCATTGTGCCTTCTACATAACCAATAAATCACTTCATAAAGACCTACAAATACCACAAGTGACGTAATTAAAAAATATTACGAACATTTTCATGACTCCTTAGCTGGACATCCAAATCCACTTGTACAAACACTACTAACAGACACACTACCACAGAATCCACCAAGGAGACTCAAACGCCTCTGGAGCAGGGATCTGCTGCATTAAGAGTCACGTTAGGAGTGCCTTCATTGGGAGGCTTCTCCAATCAAGCATTCACGCTAATTCCGGAGAGGAGGTTCGCTAACGAACATCATATTTACAAAATATGCCAAAAGGCATTTGTAAAATTTCTCAATAAATATATTTATTATTATTATTATTAATATGGTCTACAGTTTACAGCATGATTCTTTGCAGCTTTTAATTATTTAAAATCAGTAAAAAATATCAGAAAATAAATGAAGAATTCCAAAACATAAAGGCTTGACTCTTTAATATATAGCTAGACAGGTAACCAGTAAAGGTATCATCAGTTCTGGCATCAATGGGACAGAAAAAAAATATCACATAAACAGTGGCTCACAGTCAAACTCATACATCTGGATAGTGATAACAATTATTGAATAAATAAATAGTTTAATTTATATTATAATGGAAAAAAAAATTTATTGTAATCAATAAACATCCTATGTTTATTGTTATTGTCATATCTTCTGTTTCTCAGTGTGGTGATATACGGTGGCTTGTGTTGTTGGTAATCTTCATTTTATAGTGAAAATATTCACAGGGTATTGTGAATAAACATGTTTACATTGACATTTTGAGAAGAAACGAATTTAGTTTTTATCAGGATAATGACCCCAAACACTCTTCCATATTAGTTAAGGAATGGCTATTTTATAACTGTCCAAAGTTATAAAAACTCTACTAAGAACACCAAACTTAATGTGATAGAACACCAATACTCAAAGAGTGGAAAGGCTAAGTATAAAGTTCACAAAAAAAAAAAATGGTGTGTCCACTCACACGACTTTCCTGCCTATTTCAGAAAAGTTTTTATATCTTTACATATGTTCATGAAGAAACAAAAAAAATTGAACTAGATTTATTTTCCTGAAAATTGATCAAAGAAAAGATTTGAGTACGATTTATTTGATAAACTAAAGCAATGTAAACCGGCTTAAGGTAGATCAGTGTAAAAATTTCAATACTTCCTAATATTGCTGATCAAAAACTTTTTGCATAGCTTAGTATTGTCAAACAATAATTTCTGTTAAAAGTAGAGGAAATAGTGAAGCTTGTGTGATGCGGGCAACAGATTTTCTTACTTTCACTTAGTCATCTTTATTCTCTCATTCACCCCTTTCTGACACCAGGATATGAACCCGTAATCTTACATTGGAAATTGAATAGCTGTAACTTCGTTAATAGTTGTCCAAAATGAACGATTTTAATATAGTTTTTTTTTTTTTTTTTAATTTCACCACCTTTCAAAAAGGCTCGGTTCAGTAGTTCCCGAAAAGATTGGCACAGACAGACATACCAATGGCTAATAATGTGTTTTTCGGACTCAGAGACCTTCAGATCCTTCGAAAACCCTATTGCAATACTTTCCTTACCTAGTATAGATAGGAAAGTAAAAAAATTGTCGACTCCATTACAGAGTAAAATAAGTGGTTGAAAATAATGGCTTGCCTAGTAGATATTGAACTAAATTAATAGTATTTAAAAGTTAATAAGAAGTGAGTCTTATCATTTTGAATGTGAGGTAAAATTATTCAGTTTTTTTAGTATGCATTTTCTGTAGTATGTACATATTTTAATTGAGATAAGAAATAAATCTGTTGAAGAGTTTCTAGTTTTATTATTTACTGTAACCATTTAAATTTTTTTATTTTTTTACGGAGTGTATCAATTGAGCTGTGAGTCACTGCACTAGCGGATCCAGGATTTAATTTTGGGGGGGCTTCAGCACGAAAGCTTTTTTTTTCACAAAAATAACGATAATTACTTTGGAAAAAAAGAAAGAAACTAACTACCTGTATGAAATGGTGTTTAAGTGATTCCTAAAGGCCTTTTAATATTAATCACACGAACAATAATACTTTAAGATATACTTTTTTCATATTTTTTTCGATAAACCATGGTTATATTTTACCATTTTGGGGGGGGGGGGGTCTTCAGCCTGAAAGCCCCCCCTTAGATCCGCCCGTGAGTCACTGTATGTATTACAGACAGAAGGAAAATTTATAATTACATTTGATAGAAATTGTATAACACACATACTGAATGAAACGTTTCAATGAAGTTTTCAATAAATGAAAGTACAGTAGAGGAAGGTTATATTTAAACAGCTGATTAGAAAATATAAGAAAATTATGTTTTCCAAAAAATCTTTAAAAATGTGTTTAGTTGATAATGTGGCTTGGTGTAATGTACATCAATTATAGTAAATAGATTTTCTTTATTTTTCTTCTGGATATATGTTAATTTGGTTTTAATGTCCTGATGATGACTTAATTGGTGAAACGTTGGTATGTTTACTGTTTACTTGTATTCAAGAGACTCAGACAGTAGTCTGTATTTTTCTAGTAATATCCTAATTACTATGTCTCTTTTTGCGCTATTCGCGCCATTAAGGAATATCAGCTTTAACTAACTAATGATATGACACTTCAGAATTAAGAATTCAAGGTAAGTATATTAAGATTTTTATCATCAACAAAATAAGAACATTGAACATAAGACTACGACCATTATATAAGGGTGTTCTAAAATTAACGCAAGATTTAAATTAAATACAAAACACGGTCCTTTCTTCTTTTGTTTCCTTTTTATTTGTTAATTTAACAGCTGATAGTTTAGGATTTATAAAAATGGAACGAACAATGTATTTTCATTGTAGAAAAATATTTTAAAAATAATGATAGTCTTGCGGCCACAGTTCGAAAACTTCGGACAAAATAAAGTCGGAATAGTGATTTAACTTTCTTAACCAATGTGTTCACAGTTGATAAACTGTGAACACATTGGTTAAGAAAGTCAAGCAAACTGGATTAATTGAAGATGTTGAACACTCACTGATTTTTGAACCAACATGTTTACAAGTTCCAATAAACTGTTACTTTGCTAAAAACTGTCTGATTTCGATGATTTTTTTTCCTTTTTTGGGGAATTTATTAATCTTTCAATTAATCATGGGCATAACCCAGGGAAAAGTGTGTAATTTTTTTGTTATTCGGAAATAAAGTTTCTTTTCTTTCATAACTTGTTTGTCTGAATTTTCGGGGTGATTGGACTATTTTGTCCGCCTGAAGGAAAAGGAAGCCTTCGAAATTGGTGGCTCAATCTCTTGAGACTTCGTGAAGAATTAACGATGATATGGCTTGCCGATCAAAAAAACCATCGATAGATAATATAAACTCCTACTCTTTCGATCATAGAGGCCTCAAGTCGACAAAATGAGACATGTGTTCAATTAACGTAAGGTTCTGTGGATGCGAACCCTAAATCTTTTAAGTCCAATTGACCCATATCGATCTACAGACCTGCCAATTGAAGCCTAGCAAAATGTTTATATCGACTTTATTTATTTTAGAAAGAAAAGCAAAAGTGGAGAATACGATTCGCTAACCACCCGTGAAATTCTGAATCCAACGGTACCCCGTTCATGATATTTGAGCATGACAGGAGATTATATTTGGTACAAAACCGATTTCGAGCCTTACTGTAATAATATATACTAGTAGGCCCGTGCGAAAAATTCGCACAGCATATTATTATCAAATGCCAAATTAATAAGAAAATAAGAAAATGCAACTTATCAAAAGATTAAGACATCAAATGTTACTTTATCGATAAATATAATCCACAAAGCAAACAAAAATTAATTTAAATCTTCATTTTTGTTTGGAACCAACATGTTTACAAATTTCAGTAAGCTGTATATTTGCTAAAAATTGTCCGATTTCGATGATTTTTTTTTTCCTTTTGTAGGGAATTTAGAATCTTTTATATAATCATGGAATAACCATGGAAAAGTGTGTAATTTTTCAGCTATTCGCAAATAAAGTTTATTTTCTTTCATAACTTGTTTGCCTGAATTTTCTGGGTGATTGGACTATTTTGCCCGCCTGAAGGAGAAGGAAGCCTTCGAAATTGGTGGCT